TTATAACTCTCTTGGCAATATTCATGTTTATAACACGAGTAAGCAAGCTAATTACATCGCCCTTAGTCAGCGAGACATCGTCGAGTAGTACATACTGATACCATGTGTGTCACTTACATACTACCGATCTTACTCAGTAGTACCCACCCTGCTCAATAGTTGCAACCTTAATTTCGCAAAGGTCTGGTTTAGATTACGAATGAACATAAAATACGTGCATCATTCTGGACACCCTACCTATCCTACTTCGAGGTGTGGTTACCCAATCTATTGGAGTTGTGACCTGAAACCCGAAAATATATATAAAATCCCGAAATCTTTTCCGAAACTACAATACTATACTGAAAGGCTTAGAAATTTAATTTTAGACTTAGGACATAAAGTACATGATAATTAGATTGCATTTCAGAAATGTTTTGGTTACTTTATAGTAAATGTGCATTAGTTATAACCATTCTAATTTGAAGGTTTCGGAAAGGTTTCGGGTCACAACTCTACAATCTATGTGATGAATAATATCGCATGAGGTATTCATCTCCTAACTGTTATTGCTGAAATGGTGTGTTGCTGCTATTACATAGTTTGGGACGTCCCACATCACGAAGTTGTTTTTATGTAGAATATCCATGTAGAATTATTATGTAGCTTTACAAAAATTTTATAAACCCAATGTATATTTATACATTTATTAATATAAATCTATATATATTTCTATATAGAATTATGTAAAATAGCAAAAAAAAATTATTAAAGCTAGGATTAAATTTTGAAGTTTAAAATAGGAGTTTGGGGAAGGTTTAGAGCATGTTGAATATTTACTTAGTGCATCGATCGATGATTATCTTTGTCACTTTTGAGAATGGCTGAAGTAAATTAAACATTCTTATACAGATATAAATAAAATTTATATGGACTTTATATTTATATAAATAATAAATAAAATTATATATAAAACTTACGTAGCTTACATACAAAAATTCTTATTATATAAGTCGACATTGGGTTTGTAGGCCTATATAATAATTTATATAATGTTATGTAACTTTATAGTGCTATATAAAGTTTATAAAAACACAACTTGCTGATGCAAATAGGTTGCTTACTTCCAGTTATAGCATCAGATTATGATATTTTTACAACCAGTAAAGCCAGTGAAGCAGCTGCCCGTGAAGTTTAAGGGCGTTTTACATCGCCAACCCCATAAACCAATCAGATCGAAGATTTTGCGTATGTACGCACGCACATTGCATTACATGTTATGATACACAATAACACTCCTTTCCTTTATTCTATATTTCTAAATCTATCTCACTGTTATCTTTCCAGATACCATTCTAGTTGTTTGTTAACCATACACTTCATAATTTCATTATTCCGTTTCTGGTATAAAGATATATTAATTACGTAATAAACTTTAGGGGAAATTACACATATGGGTCCGAAAAATGAAAATCGTTACGTATAAGGGCTCAAAATAAAAGTAACTACCTAAAAGGAACCAAAATTTGAAAAATATTACAATCGAGACCGAATTTATCGATTGTAAGTTTTAATATTAAAAGAAAATTTCTTTTGACAGTTAAATGTATTACTTTTTTTAAATCAATATTTCATTTATTTTCTTAACGTCTTGCATGTAATAATTATAACTATTTTTGCCATTTTATAGAAGTAATTTAACTTTTTCTACGAAGTTTTGTGGTTCTATTATCTTCGATTAACGCGTAGCAACCTTAAAAAAATGCGATTCATAGTCATAATATTGGATACTTATTAATTTAGAACAATAAACATGACAATACTGATAAATATTGTACTTAACTAGTCGAATTTTATTTGATTAAAATAAGGTTTTATTAGGCGAAAGGATACATAATATAAAATATATAAAGAAGTACATACATACAATGATGGCGTTAAAAACCATTATCACAATTAATTTCACTTTGTGTCCTTACTGGTAATTATTTTCATTTTCGGCCCCTATATGTAATTTCCACTAAACTTTATTAATCTACGATGGTTATTTTTAAGCACATTGGGCTTTAAAATATTTTCCGCCAAATAAAATTTATTCACTGACACTTTTTGCGCCGTTTATTAAGGCACCCAAAAATGGTAAAAAACAAAGAAAATGAATTCCGCAATTAGAATAAATTTAGGTCGTTAGCTATATCGTAATCATTGGGTTTGTGAAACAAAAAAAAATTATAAATTGATCAAAATTCGACCAAATTTTATATACATACGTCTCTTTTTTCTCATAACTTATCACACTCTATCACCAAATATGAACAACAAGACATTCGTATTCAATGAATACAAAAAAGAAGGCAAAACAGTATTGGGACTCTTGGAGTTCTTTGGGATCAACCGATCCGTTGATGTCACGTTAAATTATTTCGATGACATTGATACCATTTCTCAACGTGTTATTGATGAATACAATCTCGATATTAAACTTAGTGATCTAAGACTTAATGCGTCTCTTATGCCTGACTGTCACAATTCTTCTGGAATTCAAGCGTACTATTATTTCGCATTTATTTTCGATGACTTGATGATTTTTAAGGGGATAGACTATATTGATCTTATAAATGGTCTGGAAAATAGAAAGAATAATTTACCACCACTAGTATCTGAGATGCTTTCGACTTTTATGAATCATTGGAAGAAAGATTTTAAAGACAAATATACTTTATTACGAACTGAAGCAATTACATGGGCGACCTCTGTGAATCAGCAA